TGAAGTGGATTTTTTTTCTTTTGGGAGTAGATGACGAACTTGCTGCTCAGTGGGTGGGTAGCTAGATGGACTCCCTTCGTTTCTGTTGTACCCAACAATTTCCGTGGCCGAGCCAAATTTCTTAGAATAGCAAGGGTTTTGAGACAGTCAAAACTAAATCGACCATGGGGGGTCAAACTGGTTGGATTGATTTTCAAAATGAAAAATAAGAATCGTCTTTTAAAAATATGAAGTATATTAAACATAGCTAATTTTGTTTAAGCAGACAGATCATTCAAATCTACCCCATCTGATTGGTTCAGTGTAGGAAAAATTGAACCAGAACCGTACATGGGGCTGGAAGCGGTTCAACCAGCCTTACCGGTAAACCGGCCAGTTCAATCGGGCCAATTAGGCAAGTCTTGGGAGGTCAAAAAAGTGTTAAAAAAATACAATAAAATCTAATAAAATATGAAAAAAAATGTTTACAATATGATGAAACAAAGAACATCAAAATTTATGAAAAATTTGGATTTTAAAGGATCGATTTTTGACGAAGGATATTTTTTAAATTTTTGAAAAAAAGATAAGAAAATGTAAAAATAAGTATTAATGGCCGAAACAATTTTTAATTTTTACCAAAATGATGAAAAGTATTAAAAAATACATTACAAATAAAATCCTCTATTTTTTTTGAGATTTTATATAATTTGATATGAATTTTTTTTTAAATATTAGGCAGGTTCACCAAAACCAATTAAAACTAAAACCGGCTAGCGGCTAGTTTTGATCTGGGCGGTTAGAATTTAAAGATTTTTCCAACCGTGATCGGTCAAATATTGATTCTACCTTTTTTTTTTTTTTTTTTGCTAAACTCGATTTTAATTTTGTGAATTGGTTTCCTTATCGTCCATCCTCAATTTTTTTGCACCAATCTCTCAAAAAGTCAATGCAACCTTTCCGTGGAAGGGACCCACCTCCAAAAAAAATAAAAAAGAAAGTAATAACTTCCACGATATAATAGGGAATAATCTGGTTTGAGTTAAACCAAAGGTTTTGACAACGACCCTTTGAAGTTGTGGATTGGTAAGTTGGAATTTGAGCAGTAGACATCTTTAACCAATGTGATACCCAAGTCATGTAACATAAAACACATATGTAAATGGATGGCTATGATATGTTGAATCAAATGTGCCTAATTAAATATCAACCGTTCATTTGTTTGAAGAACAGTGGACCTGCCGGCCATCAACTCGTCGGCCACATGTGTGGTCAGGTCGTTTGGGCATTATTATTATATATTTATAACAATATCACAAAATTCATTTTATAATAAGAGGAGTTTAGAATGGAACACTTTATTTAGGATATTGAAAATAAATATTGACACCCACCAAACGATTTTGACTCTTGGAGGCTTATTCAAACATGTGGCGTGAAACAATAGCTCATAAAGCGTGGAAATCTCTCCATTGCTTTTATGAAAAGTATTTTGTGAGTCCGCCGACTCACAGTATTCTTGTGCAGTTTCCCTACAAAATATATCTCAAAGGTGTATTTTTAGGGTTTGATAATTTCAACCAGAAAATGATCTAAATTTAAAATTATTTATTTTCAAAATACATAAATATTTTGTTTTGAATTCCTTTCTTCATCATCTATCTTAACTTTTACAGAATGTAACATTTTATGACATCCATCTTAGTGATGAACGTTACATAGACAAGGAACCACATGGTAACATGTGAATCGGCCGACTCACCAAACCCGTGTCCTTGTTTTTAGGAGTCAACAATTCATGCCATGACTTTTAGGAGTACCAGATGGCTTTCATGAATAGAACGCTAAAGAAGAGAGCTTTTTTTCTTTTTCTTTTCTTAAGAAAAATTTATATAGAGCCCAGGCTCTAACAATCACATTAGACCCCACCTCAAAAACTTCATTAGAAGACGTTCTTTTGATACTCAAATATCTACAAATTGATCATCTCGACATCAATATGCATGGACATGAGAACAAAAAATGGATTTTAAGTTTTGGAAATAATACATCTTGTAATGTATTTTTGGACCATCTATTTTCAAGATGTATACGTTTTCATAGATCTATTCGATCTATATTATTTTTGAATATTTAAATTTTATAATTAAAGATAAAAAATATTTTGAGGCTATCACAAAATTTTTCAACATTAAAACCATATTTTTCAATACTATTTTGAAGGTGCGCTCTACTTTGATTGTTTAGAGTGTGGGCTCTATACAAACCGCACCTTTTTCTTCTTCTTCTTTTTTTTTTTTTTTTTTTAGCATAAATCTCAATTAGGAGAAAGAGATGTACAAGTCAAAGGGGCCCGACTCCAAGATTTTCAAGGGAATTGGAGCCGTATTAATTTGAGATAATGGGTTTTGTGGGTCAATAATCAAGACCTTTTTCCCTTTCATGAGTGCAAACCTGGAAATTAAGAGATAGAGAGAGAGAGAGAGAGAGAGAGAGAGAAGAAATGAGTAGGTTAGTGGTGCTATTGGTCGGTGGGGGTCGGGCCGGGACTACCAACTACTTACCTAAGTTTAGTAAAGTTAGGACTAAGTGGACTAGTTTAGGTTGGT